GATCCTGGCTTAAGGATCGACTTGTCGATGCTTCGACCTGCTGATGGGTTGACGATTGTTACGTCCATCAGAATGGACTTGGTGCAGTGTGTGTGTGTGTGTGTATGTGTGTGTGTGTGTTTTTATTATTAGCATCGACCGCGCTAACCGGCTGACCAATGAAAAGACGTCAGTCTTAGTGCGGTTGAAAACACAAAACACTTCTATCTACCATGAACTGGGACCCCGTGAGGGGGCAGCATGGGGGAGGCTAAGCTATCCTTCGGATTAAAAACAGAAACAGCAGCAACAGACGAAAAATGCACGCGTCTACCAAGGCTATTACCTAGTACTCGAGTTCGTTTAGGAGTACTTTCACCAGTGTCCTCCTTGTTTTCGCTACCATCATTCTGATCCTCATTTCGACAAGAAGAATCTCTGGGCAGTTCTTCCCTAGCCCTACGTTTCTTGTTGTGGGGAAGGTCATCTGGCTCAAACCCTTTGCTCTCTTCCACTCCTCCATGTTTTTCTGCTCCATCGTCGTCATCCTCCTTTCTCCCCTTTCCCTTTCCTTCGTCTTCGTCACTCCCAAAAGAATTACTCTCACCACTATCGTTGTCGCAGAGATCCCAACCGATTGGCCCTGGTGGAAGTTGGTCGATCAGTAGCCCATGACGTTTGAACACATCGCGAGTTCGCATCGACAGAAAACGAGCTAGCTCGAAGGTAAACCGTCTCCGAATCCTGTTAGTATGAAAAGCTTTCAGGCGAACTAAGGCCCTCTCGTCGTCAAAATTTTCCCGGCAAAAAGCTTCGTGCGCCAAGTGGTTGGCGATAGCAACGATGAGTCGATTGGTGCCTTTGCCAAGACCACCATTCGTTGAAAAAGCAGCAGTAAGGAGGGTAGATCTAGACGGGTTGAAAGTTCCCGCATAGTGATTTGCCTTACTTGCAGCTCGATCTTTGAGGGCAGATCCTGGCTTAAGGATCGACTTGTCGATGCTTCGACCTGCTGATGGGTTGACGATTGTTACGTCGATCAGAATGGACTTGGTGCAGAGGTCCTCTTCCTTCTCTCCTGCGTGTAATCCTGGGGGGATTACCAAATCCATCTTGTATAGCCCCTTTCCCCTACCAGTGCCTGTGGTAAAAGGGGAAGAATCCTCAACGGCGATGGGCATATGGCACTCGCGCAGTGTCTTGAGGACCACTCGAACCATCCTGTTATGGAGGAAGGTTGAGGCGCCGGTCTTGGTGCAGACGAGGGAGTGGGCTCGGCTCAAGCGGTCCTTGCATGGTAACAATGCACCTGCACCACAAAGTTTGCCTGTGTTGCAGTCTGCTCGATCGTGACTCCCCAGTACACGACCGATTGACTCTCGATATAGATCAGGCAGCATTCTTTCATCTGCTGACAACCCTTGCGTTGTCAACCACGACAAAACTCCCTTGCCTTTCGCTTCCTCCAAGCGGATCAACGCCCTCTTCTTTGGCGTTTCCTCGCCTACTACTTTCTGCAAGTCTGTCTCCACCATGTGGCGCACTGCTGCATGAAGAGGTTTCGAAAGGAGAGCTTGGGCTCCAAAGACTTGGTAGTGTTGACCAAATTCATTTCGGCTGAAGGTAGACGGTGGTTGATGTTCTACGTCAGGGTTTCCATCTTCACGGGGTTTTCCCGCCTTACCTGCTTCCAACAAGTAAACTCCTTTGGGGGCGGGGGTTAACGCATCACTTGTGGCAAGTTTAGCCCATGACTGCCCAACAGCTTTTTCAAGCTTGTCTTTGGTGAT